GTTCGATCCCTGGGTCAGGAAGATCCCCTAGAGGAGGGTATAGCCACCCACTCCAGGACTCTTGCCTGGAGAATCCCATGGACAGAGGAGACCGCCAGGCTACAATCTATAGGGTCACAAAGGGTTGAACACAACTAAAGTGACTTAACACATACACGCATGCACACACACACACACACACACAAACATACATATATATATTGCTGTCTGCTTGTTTTAGCATCATTTGTTGAAAGATTATCCTTTATCCATTAAACTGCACTGGCAATTGTATCAAAAACCCACTGGCCAGATACTGTGGATCTGTTTGGGGGTTCACTACTCTATTTCACTGAACTACTTGCCTGTTTCTACACCAGTACTATTTTGATTACTATTGCTTACAACCTGGGAATGTGAGCTCTCTAAGTTTGTTCTTCTTTTTCAGAACTGTTTTGACTATTCAAGGTCTTTTGCATTTCCATCCAAATTCTAGAATTCGCTTATTGATCTATTAAAAAAATTTGCTGGGATTTTGGTTTCGCTATTGCATTGAATATATATGTAAGTCAATATGGGAAGAAAGACAAAACTTTAGTTGAATATGTGAACTCCTTCTACATACAAGGTGCTTAAACCAATTTGATTTTTACAGCCCTTGATAGTTTCCAAAGCCAGTTCACACACATTATCCCATTTGATCTACCAAATAACCAGAGGGAAATGTGGGCCTCACTTTGCAAATGAGAAAAGTGAACCCCAGGAGACTTGACTTGGTCAACTTGTGGATAGTGGTGGCGCCAGTTGGCCTGGTATTTCATTTCATGTCTACAGTCTATTTAATACTTGATCTTGTAAATATTGATCTGGTATATCTAAAAATGTTGGCACGTCGGCCAAGGCAAGAAGCCCTGGCAACACTGCCAACTCAGCCTCATACACTTTCACTCCCCCTTACTTGGGTAAAGAGGTAGCTTGACACCCAGTCACCCCTGCTTTCAGACCAGCCCTGGGGAGCTGGCTCCACCCTGTTAATCTCAAACACTCAGGGAACTTTAAAAACACATGCCTCAGCCTCACCTCAAGGTCTTAATTCAGTTGTGGGGGCTAGGGCCCAAGCGTACAAAAACTTCCCAGGTGACCCTCATATACAGCCAGGTTTGAAAACCTGCAATTCCGGTGTTTCCAGGGAAAGAGAGAGCAGGAAAGTCAGAAGATTTCTGAGACTTGAGCAAAGCTGAGGGTCAGGGGTCACCGGCATAACCGCCCCTCCACTCAGAAAGGGAAGGGAAATGAGAGAGCCGGACAGAGGTCTTGCCAAATTCCTGAGCAGAATCAGAACGAGATACTAAACGCATGACAACTCCCCACAGGGACTGACCACCCCCCGCCATTCCTTTAAAAATATCCTTCACTCTCGGTAAATAATAAGAAATTCAGATCTCATGGGAATCAGATAAATTCATAACAGGAAACAGTTTGGGATTATTTTGTCCAATTTCTTATCTCTAGATCGGAAAACTGAAGTCCTCTGAGGCCGATGACTGCGTCAACACTGTTCCCCGCCCTCCACCCCCAGACGGGGCAGAGCCAGGGTTGGACTCCCCTCAAGCCTCTTTCCACTGCTCTGTGCAGCCTGAGCCATTCACTCACTTGTTTATGGGGCCTACTGGGGTGAGGGGCTGATTTCTGGGGTGTTAGGACCACTGGCTGGGAAGAATTGACTCACTGGCAAAGAACCTGATGCTGGGAAAGATTGAGGGAAGGAGAAGGGGATAGAGCATGAGATGGTTGGATGGCATCACCAACTCAATGGACATGAGTCTGAGCAAACTCCGGGAGATGGTGAAGGACAGGGAAGCCCGGCGTGCTGCAGTCCATGCGGTTGCAGAAAGTCGGATCCGGCTGAGTGGCTGAACAGCAACAACAAACAGCCACTGGCTCCCAACCGTGGTGCATCTAATCACCAGGGAAGTGAAAATAGAGATTCCTGATCGTAGCCTAGAAGCCAGCTCTTTGTGGGGGGGAGACTAGGAATCTGAGTCACACTGTTCCCCACTCTTCTTTGGCTCTCTCTGGGTCTGTTTTAAGTGTTTATGAATTCCAAGGTCTGAAGGGTCTGACACTGCAGTCCTTGGCAACCTCTGGGTTTAGTGATTACCTGTGAATTCACTTGTGGAAATGTCTCTGCCACCAGGGCATGGCAACCCACTCCAGTATTCTTACTGGAGAATCCCCATGGACAGAGGAGCCTGGCAGGCTACAGTCCATGGGGTCACAAAGAGTCAGACATGATTGAGCGACTAAGCCCACAGCACTGTCCCCACTGCCATTCCGTCAGCTCAGTCGCTCAGTCATGTCCGACTCTGCAACCCCAAGGACGGCAGCACGCCAGGCTTCCCTGTCCATCGCCAACTCCCTGAGCTTACTCAAACTCATGTCTATCTAGTCGGTGATAGTCAAATCACCATCTGCAGGGATCTTGGAGCCCCCAAAAATAAAGTCTGTCACTGTTTTCATTGTTTCCCCATCTATTTGCCATGAAGTGATGGGACCGGATGCCATGATTTTAGTTTTCTGAATGTTGAGTTTTAAGCCAACTTTTTCACTCTCCTCTTTCATTTTCATCAAGAGGCCGTGGCCATTAGGAGTGAACAACACTAGATTTACAGCCTGATGCAACCAAGATTTTCCCCTCATTTTCACAAGAGCTAAAATACAAACTGAACATGGCAATCATTTTAAGGCCACAGAGAAGCTGACCAGAGCTTTGGGCTGCCACAGAAAGGGCAGGCCCTGCCCAGCACTGTGTATCTGTTTTGCAAGGTGGGTGGGCACTGCCCAGGTGGTGGGCACCCCCTGCCTCCCACCCTGCAACTTCTGGGACCACCCACCCCTTTCTAGGCCCTGTACAGGACTCCCAGCTGGGGCCCATGGGTGCTCACCCTGGGTTCAAGTCCCCACACTGCAGCTGGTCAGTGGCACCTCTCAGGTCCCCATCTGTTAAAGGGGGGCCTCACCTGTAAGAGGTGTCAAACTATAGCTGAGCTGTCAGGCTCAGCCATCACAGTGTCCTTGGAGCCTGCTCTTGAAGCCACCCGGCTGAAGCCCCCAGGGTCACAGAAGCAACACATGCCTTCCTCCTCACACCAAGCCTGACGGTGATAGGTCTGAACCCACGTTCTGCCCACAGTCTGGGGGGAGACAGGTGGGAGTACGATCCATTATAATCCAGTGACCCGGTGCCGAACTAACAGGTTCAAAGATCGACGTGTGAGGGGTGGGCATCCTGGGCAGGGGGGCTATGTGTGACCCAGGACAGGCTCCTGAGGGCGTGGGGGTTGAGGAGGTGCAGTCCTGGGGCTCAGGGTCCCGGCAGGCTCCGCCGGACCCAACAAGGGCAGCTGGAGAGTGTGTGTACCCAGCAGGCGGTGCTCTGTCATCCCCAGGAAACCAAGCAGACAAATGGTTTAGTGGTGGGGGTGTGGGGGGGCAGGCAGGAATGGGGTGAGAGATGCTGGGAACTCGGAGGTTAACCAGGGCTGAAACATCACAGGGGCTCTGACTGGATCTTGCCCCATGACCCCCAGAATTACAAGAAAGGGTGCTCTCGATAACCAGGTTAACCTAAAGGAAGGCCACCTACACAAGGAAAGCATCCCAAGTGGTTAAGATGGTTAACTCTTCTGTTATGTATGTTTTACCACAATGAAAAGGCGCAGGAAGGAGGTGCAGTCCGAGGGAGGCGGAGGCTGGTTCCTGGGCAGGACAGAGGGGAAGACAGCTCCCTGCGGCCGGCCTGACTCACCACTGCTCACCCTCCACACTTTCTCAGGGTCACCAGCAAAGCACCCGCAAAGAGGTGCTGCCTGGGATGTGATGGTGAAAAACCTCGGGTTCTTTGCTTGATTCTGCGAGGTTCCTAGCCTAGAGCCAGAGCCTCATCTATGGCGGGGAGAGACCTGTTTGCGGCCGCAATCTGGCACGTCCGGCAGAGTTCTCACTGTCACGTCCCAGGCGGTGCCTCTGCGGGTGCTTTGCTGGTGACCCTGACTGCGCCGGGCTTTGGGAAGAGAAAGTGAAGGGGGAGCAGAGGTGAGTCAGGCCAGCTGGAGGGAGCTGCCTTCCCCTCTCTCCTTCCTTGGACTGCACCTCCTTCCTGCGCCTTCTCATTGTGGTAAAACATAGGTAACAGAAAATTTACCATCTTAACCACTGGGATGCTTTCTTTGGGGAACCATCACCCCCTCCATCCCCAGGACTCTTGCCAAACTGTAACTCCCTCCCCAACCTCCAGCCCCTGGTGACCCCACCCTACTCTCTGTCTCTACATTTGACTTATAACACAAGAAAGACAGCAAATTTCCGAAAGGTTTTTATTGACAAATTTACAACGTCCCAGGGTAAACTGGGTATGTATACTCAATATACTGAGTATAATTTCTCAGTGAATGAGGCAGGAGTGACTAGATCTGGGAGCCCAGCTCTCCACGGCCTTCGGCCTTCGCCTTTCTCTGGTGGGGGGGCTCTCACCCCTTCACCCCAAAGAGCGAGCAGTCAAAGGGAGTTCCACTGAGGCCAGACAGGATCTCTTTGAAGTTCAAAAAGGCCAAGCCCGGTTCCTTTTTTTTTCTTTTTAATTAAATCACCTGATATATTTTTTAAAAATGAGGAATGTCAAAGCAGTTACAAAAATATTGGCATATTTTAGCATTTCACAGTTTAACAAATTAACGAGTTTGTCACGCCTGCACACATACAATGCATTTAACTGTGCCAGGCACGAAATAATTACTGCATTAAAAAGAAAAAAAACCAAAACAAAAGAGGTTAATTCCTAGGGCCTGGTGGGTGTGACGAGTGGGGATAGACGCAATTTTAAGATTGCAGGATGAGCAGTTTCTACCCTTCGTCAGTTTCCTCTGGGGCTGAACTTGTGACTTTCACTGGGAGACAGCGTGGAACGGTCTGCACTGGACACTCCTTAGGCACCAGGGAGCCTGGGAGGTGCTGCAGCGCCCATGCACACCCCTGGTGAGCGAGGCCAGGAGACCAGAGGCCTGGCTTTCCAGCAGGTTCACAGCGGCTGCCCTGGTTCACATACTAGGGTCCCCATTTGGAAGTGTCTGGAGGCCCTTGTGATCATCACATGTCATGGCTACTTCCTCCAGGAGGTCCTGGCCCTCTTTCATCCACAGGGGTGTGGGGTGACTCTGGCCTCCACTGGATGTGGCAGGACTTGTCACAGTGAGCAGAATTCACATGGAAGCCACCGGAGGGGCCAGGGGTCCGTGCGGGTCTGGCCCACACCTGGAGGACGACCTCAGGAGCCGAATCCAGCCGCTCTAGGGTTTCCCAGCCTCTCCGTGGGCCTGCTTCTCGAGTCCCCAGTGTTTAAACACAGGATGAGTTTGCATTACAAAATTTCTCATTTTAGGAAAACAAGTTATGACAACATTTCTATGAATAAGAAGTTGGTTGAGAAAAACTTAAAATATTATTCAACTTGCAACACAGACCATTTCCCCTCCTCCACCCCCAGATACACAAAGGTATTCGCCTTCATCTCGGGAACCTAACTCGATGTCCAGGTGGTCTCAAGGAGAGAATGGGGTTTCAAGAGCAGACCAAGGAGACTCGAACACCATGGTTATTGGCCATCTTCCATCTTCACCCTGGAGACTGTGTGGGAACTGGACCCTCCGAAACCCTCAGAGGGTGCGGGCATGTCAGGGCCATGGGCAGAGTCATCTCTCCTGGTCAAGACTTCATCAGGACGTCTGTCCCCCTGGGCACACCTAGTTCTACTGTCCAGCTCACTAGCTGTCCTTATCTCTTGACAAAATCTAAGCTACAGCTTGAGGGAACTTGGTCCTCTGTGGGCCCTGGGGCCTGAGGCACTCTACCTGCAAGACCCGATGGTGCTGTGAGAACCTTCGTCCACCCTCGTCTGTAGGTCTGTCTTCTCCAGGCCACCCTCACCCTGGGCACTACCCCCTCACGACTGTCCCCCCTCGCCCACCAGGACAATTAGAACCACCCCGAGTGTCCCCATTTGCAAGTGTCCAAGCCCTTTTCTGCCTGCACATGCAGTTTCCCAGGCAGGGTTGAGCAGCCTCCTCAGTGAACAGACTGGCTGGATACCAAAGCTTTCCAGCATTCAGGCCCACCCTCTCCCCAGCCACAGCTCACCTGGCTGTAGAACCACCCTCCGAGGGCGGCTGCCTCCCGTCCTCGGGGCAGGGACACAAATCAAGTGCTTCCTGGTAGGCTGAGAAAGCGCGGGTTGTGTGTGAGGATAAGAGCATCATTGAGACGTAATCAGGGATGCAGGGGAGGCTTCGGCTGGGAGAGAAAGACAGACCTTTCTAACCCACCGCTGCTGTCTGGAGTGGCGGGCTCTCCCTACAAGGCTGCGATTGTACAGCTTGAGAAGAAGTAAATCACTTGGAAGGGAGCGTGAGAGGGCTTTGTGACCAGAGAGCATGCTTGTGACGCACCACCAAGAAATAAAATGCTACCTCTCTCTCCACATAGAGCAGGACAGTCTCATAAACGCCCAGGGGCAAGAGAGAAACACAGAAGTTAAAAGAGGGGGGGAAATATATTCACGAGAACAAAAGCGAGTGAACATTTAATCATCTACTGACACAGTTTGATTTCCAACTCGTACGTGATAAACATCAGTGAACACTTCATGTGCATAACCCTGCAGAAATGAAGCGCATGTGTAAATAATTAGTAGATGGAAGAGGTAGGATGGTAGGAGGGTCCCACACCCAGCTTGCTGGAGGACCCCACATGTGGCTTGCTGGTGTATCCAGAGTCCTTTCCACTGCAAATAGCCAAAAACCAACTCAGAAATGGCTTCAGGAGTACATCTGTTTACTGTTTACACGTGAACCTCTTTACGAAACAGAAACAGACTCACGAACATAGAGAACAGGCTTGTGGTTGCCCAAGGGGAGTGGGATGGAGGAGGGACGGACTGGGAGGCTGGGGTTAGCAGATATAAGCTTTTATCTACAGGATGGATAAAAAACAAGGCCCTACTGCATAGGACAGGGAACTATATTCAGTATCCTGTGGTAAATATAATGGAAGAGAGTATTTTAAGAAGTTAGTATATGTATGCATAACTGAATCACGTTGCCGTACAACAGAAATTAACACATTGAAAATCAACTGTACTTCAGTTAAAATATAAGTAAAAAAATTTTTTTTAAAAAAAGCAGGAAAGCAAGAAAGAACTTCCTTGACTCAAAGGCAGCAGAATACTTTTTTTTTCCAACATGAAGGAACATAACATTTTTCTAGGATCGGAGACCAAAGCGACCACACCCAGATCAAGCCCTGAGAACCTGTGTGCTGTGGGGCCTCCCGAGGCGACAGGAGCAGGGGCAATTGTGTCCCTAGTTATCTATTTTGGATGACGTGAGGGGAAATTCTTAACTGTGCTTGGAAATGTCCAATGCTCTTAGTAGCTAGCAACAATAGAAAGATTTTTGATATCGAAGCAACATCCGCCAGGAAGAGAAAAAGCACTCAAAATCTATTTCAAATGATGTAGAAGTGAAGACACTTGACCTCTCAGAATTTTTAGTTGCATCTGCTACTCCCTGCTACTTGCTGCTCCTGAATTCTGCTCACTGTGGGGGGAAAAGTCAACCAGAAACTAGTTGTCAACACTGCCGTCACAGATGAACTCGATTCACTGACAGGTAATCATCCAGTGCCCCTCTTTGCCAGCTGCCATGCAGGTCCCACCCCTCGGGGAGGCACACCAGGCTGGATTCCCGCTCCGGTGAAGCTCGCAGAAGGTAGGCTGGTGATGTGGACAGGGGGGTGCTGTGAGCTCAGGAGGGAGCCCGTTCCAGACCCTCTGGAGGCTCGGTTCACCCACGCAGATGGTACCAGGGCTCTGGGGAGGTGCCAGCCACAGCCTGGGATTCGCCTGGCAGCCCTGGAGTTGCCGTGCATGTCTGTCACTCCCCACGATCCCTGCTTCACACGGGGAAACCTGAGCCCCTCGCCACCCACACCCCAACACTGCCCCGAGTGCCCGGCACGGGTCAGAACACAGTCCCACGTTTCTTCCTCTAGAACGTGCCATCCCCTCAGGCACAGAGCTGATGGCCCGTTTTCAGCCTGACTCTGGACCACGGGTCATCCCTCAGTATAAAACGCTTTGAAAGAAATCAAGTAACAAAGGAGAGAGCTCTGGGCATCGTTTCAAGTTGGCTTGACGGTTACTGGATGAGAGGGGATGCTATGAACACATGGGCCCTGGGTGCACTTGCCCTTAAGGATGGAGAAACCAGAGCCCGAGAAAATGCCATTTGTTAATGTTTCAAAAAATTATTTATTTAAGAATGCTTGGCTCAGCACACATGAAATCTCCTTCCGTATAAAAATGAGTAACTGGTGTGGGAGAGGGTGACAGGGCTGGTTGAGCTCTGGTTAACGTCAGTTTTCTGGCCAGTAGGGAAAGAATTGTGCTGGAGAGGAGAGCAGGGATGTGCTTTAGGGACAGGAATGCGTTGGCAGAAATAAGTTTTTAAGCCAGGGCATGAAGACATTCCTGAACCAAGCACTTGACTGCCCCCACCTTGCACTAGCCTCCAAGGCAGGGAGCTCTCAACTTTTCCTCAGGACCAGAGGTGTCCTCTGCCAACAAGACCAGCAGCTGCTTTTCTACATTAAAAGGAAGAGGAGGAAGGGAAGGAGAAGAAGAAAGCAAACAGGGGAGCAAGAGAAGAAACACTGACTTACAGAAGGAGGTGGATATTTTCATAGTGTGGACAGGGTATTTCCAGCACATCTGGGCAAGATCTTAAACTCACAGACTGGTTAATCTAAGATTCTCATGCTTCCTAGGGATGTCTTATTGCATTACTTCCAAGTTTCATCACTTTATTTCCAATTTGTATCCTTGGGGAATGGAACAAAAAAGATTTTCTGAATCACAGGAAATGATTCCAGCTGGGTACAATTTGATATTAACTGAGGGTATCCAGGAGCCACAGATGAACTTGGCACTTTTTCACGGATTCTAAAACAGGATTCAAAGTGGCAAACATTATTCTTATCCCCGCTAATTCAATAAAGTGACAGAATGAGTTAAGTTATTAAAGATCTGACACCCTGCCAGGATTCCACAGTGCTGAGGTGAATTGAATTACTCTTTCTAAATAATATAGCGAGGGGAAATGAAGGCATCATTGCTACCATACCCAAGAACGCGTGAAGGAAACAAGTTAAGTTTTATGAAGAGATTCAGCCCTCAAGACTTCTGTTTTTGTAAATAAATAAATAAAACAAAACAAAACCCCCATCAATTTCATTAAACATATTCTTTAATCCTACATTTCTTCCTGGATCCTACGACTGCCATTTAAATTGTCTCACAAGCAGGTGTAGCTTAGGAAGGACCTGTACTCTGGGGTCAGGATGCTGGTGAGAAAAATGACATTTGCCTCTGAAAAATGCAGGTGTGCCCAAGACTCAGGAAAATGAAGCTGAAAATATGAAAAGAAAAATGAACATACTCACCCAGTCCAAACCCACGTTAAGCACATAATGTTTTTATGGGTTCTGGTAGCATATTCAGAGAATTGGTGAATTGAGTCTTCTCATATTTTATTCTCTGAATTAATTTCCACCTTCCAATGAAGGAAAATGCTTGGAAATACATTTAAGAGGGTTTATGGTGTTATATACTTAGGAAGAAAATTATGGAGGAAATTAAAGCTGAAGTATAAAGTGAGATTGTCTCTCAGTCTTATCCCTCAAAATAGAAGGAATCATCTGACAAGATTAGTTGAGGCAGGCACTGTTCTCAAATAGGGTTGTCAGACTTAACAAAGAAAAATCTGTATTCTTATTTTAACTGGGCATTTTCTATGCTCAGATAAATCTAAATTTCAGATACACAATATTTTTTTTAGTATGTTTCAAACAATATTTGGGGCATTATTACATTAAAATTTATTGGTTATCTGAAATTCAAGTTTAAGTGGACACCCTATAATTTATCTTGCAAGTCTAAAATGACCTTAAAATGATAGTTTTGGATGGTTATAGAGGTCATTTGATGGAATGATTTTTAAAAACAGAGACAAAGAAATTGAACAGGTTTAATATTTAGTAATTATCCTTGGGGTTGTGACATTTTTGATTACAGTTGGCAGGTACATACATTGTAAACAAGCCTTACATAAATCACTTATGACCCTGTGGACTGCAGCCCATCAGGCTTTTCTGTCCATGGGATTGCCCAGGCAAGATTACTGCAGTGGGTTGCCGTTTCTTTCTCCAGGGGATCTTCCCAGATCAGGGATCAAATCCATGTCTCCGGCACTGGCAGGCGGATTCTTCACCACTGAGTTACCAGGGAAGTTCTAGAAAAATGTACGGACTGTCTTATCAAGGTCAAACTCACTTATATCACGATACCAATAAATCCAGTCAATCTGCCTAATGTTCTACCTGCCCAACTGTCTCTGCATGTGGACCGTGCTTCCAGCCAAGATGGAGTAATAGGACCAGATTTACCCTTCTCCTTTACACACTCCAAAAACCGGACAAAATACATCTAAAAACTGGTTTTCAGACATCAGTGGACAGCACAGTACTGTTTCCCTGAGAAATAGAAGAGTTTAGCTGGTGCATGAGAAGCTCCCAGTGCAGCAAAGAATCCACGTGAAGTCCAGGGGTCTTGGGGTTCTGAGCAGATAACAGCTACAGTGCATGGGAGTGGGGGAGGAGGGAATTTAAGAGCAACGGACTGCAGAGTGGGAGGGGCAAGGAGAGGCTGCTTTGGAGATCTGCACGGGGGTCTGCTCGAGCCAGCGCAGGCCTGAGAGGCCTCCGCCAGCTGAGACTCGCACAGGCTGGAAATCGTCTGTGTTCCCACCAGTCAGAGCGGCAGCTGGGGCTTCTGGCAGAATTCTCAGAAGGACATTTCTTTAGCAGTGGGGCCTAATTTGCTCTAGACTGAAAGGCATGCTAGACTTGATATACAAGCTTAGAAACAAGTATCAAAAAGATACAGTTAATTTAACAGTGTGCCAAAACAAAATTTAACCCTAAGCAAATATAACTCTAGCAACCAACAGAGCAAAATTCAAAATATCCAGCATCCAATGTAAAAAACTACTCGGTTGAGAAATTAAGAAGAAAATTCCATTACCGTGCACCAAAAAGAATAAAATACCTAGGAATAAAGTTAACCAAGGAAGTGAAGGATCTGTATACTGAAAACTATATACAATTTGATGAAAGAAAGTTAAGAAACAAAATAAATGGAAAGATACTCCGTGCTCATTGTTTGAAAGGATTAATGTTAAAATGGTCATACTACCTGAGGAATCTGCAATCCCTGTCAAAATACCAAAGGCATTTTTCCCACAGAAACAGAAAAAAATAATCCCCAAATTTGTATGGAACCACAAAAGATCCCAAATTGCCAAAGCAATCTTGAGAAAGAAGAGCAAAGCTAAAGGCATCACACATTCTGATTTCGAAATACACTGCCAGCTACAGTAATAATAGCAATATGGTGCCGTCATGAAAACAGACATAGAGATCAATGTAATAGAGCCCAGAAATAAACCCATGCACCATCAACCTATCTACCACGTAGGAGACCAGAATATAGAACGAACGCGGGAAGGACCGTCTCTTCAACAAATGGGGTCAGGAAAGCTGGACAGCCACATGCAAAAGAATGAAACTGGATCCCTACTGTCCACCAGACACAAACAAATGATCCTGGTGATCATTTTTTGGATTTGACACCCACCGAAAGCAAAGACAACAAAAGAAAATGAAAGTGGAAGTATACCACACTAAAAAACTGAAGCCCTGATATTCTGGCCACCTGATGTGAGGAGCCGACTCATTGGAAAAGACCCTGATGCTGGGGAAAGATTGAGGGCAGGAGAAGGGGACAACAGAGGATGAAATGGTTGGATGGCATCACCAACTCAATGGACATGAGTTTGAGCAAACTCCAGGAGACAGTCAAGGACAGGGAAGCCTGGTATGTTGTAGTCCATGGGGGTCACAGAGTCAGACACAACTGAGTGACTGAACAACAAACCCTATAAGCGCCAGCTGCGCCTCCCATCCTGAGTCTGGAGGGGTCCCAACAGAGCACCTGTCCAAAACATGGCTGCAGCCCATATGGACAGTCACTGTCCCAGTGGCTGGAAGAAGCAGCAGCCCACAGGGGCACAGGGAGTCCAGTATAACTGGGTGCAGTGAGAGCTTCTGACTGCTTCAGAGACAAATTGTACTTGTCTGTTTTTGCCTATGTAGAGTTCTCTTTTTGCCAATGCACAAACTCAACTGGAAAAGCAATTACCGCTTATTAATCAAGCTGATTTTAGGGCCTATTAATTAAACCTGCATCAGTTTTTAAAATCCATTATATTGTTGAGTATGCTTTCAACAGACATCAGTAACTAGTAAAATACAAATTCTTTCTGTACTTTGTAATTTAAATGGGAAAGCACACCAAGAAATGACTTTATTGGAGAAAGCTCATTAATTTCATCTCTGGTTCCACGCCACAGGACATGTCGTATGCTCTGGATGGAGTAGACACTTCATCAGCCACGACCGTCCTGGGCTCATTCCTTTCTCTGAGGACTGGAAGCTGAGATAAAGCAAATCTGACTTTGTCACACAGTTGACTATGAGCAGAGCGTGGTCTCTCCAAACTTCATTTTTCCCATTTATAAAATGGGGAAAATGATACTTAACTCACAAAACTTTTGTGTGTGTAATAGGCTTCACGTAGCACCTGGTACAGGGTGGGTATTCAGTGTTAATTTAGGGTCCAGCTGAGATAATAATCGTGCAACTTTGAAGAGTGATATAGTTTGCTTTACATGCTGCCTTCCAGCATTTCTATGACAGTGAAAGCATCGCTGTTACTATTACAATTCTTATTACTGACAGGGGCTTGGGAAAGCTGAATTACTTGACCAAAGCTGACATGAAGGAACCAGCAGAGCCAAGACCTAGGTCTTCTGACCGCAAGCCCTGTGTTCTGCTGCGTCACACCAATCCTCGCCCCCCAGGACACCCCTCCCACATGCTGCTTCCTCTCCTTAAGACAGTTCCAGTTCTCGACCCTCCATGCAG